AAATACAAAATATCCTTGATTATCAAACTCTATTAAAGTTGCTTCCATTTGTACTACTCCAATATTGTCCAAAAGTTGTTTTAGTCATATTACTTCCATCGCACCATGGCTTGTTGTCATATATTTCACATCTATTATTGATCTTGTAATTATTGGTTGTTTCTTAAAATCCCATGATATAGCTCTCATTCTAACAAAGAAAATATATATTATTATTGACCTTCTATAATTTGCATCTCCAACCCATGTCACAATACAATAATCATATTTAAGGCCAAAATTTGGCATGGCTTCGCTCTTCACCAAAAGAGGAAAGAGAGAGGGCTTGAAAAACCAAGCCACTCTTATAAAATTGAGTGGTGGCTTGTGGAAAGGCGGCCACATCTCCATCCTTGACCTCTAAGATTTCTAATATAGATCTATGGCCTTCATTCATCCAAGAGCTAATTTCATTACCGAGGTTGATGACTCTTGTAAGTAGTCAAAGAAATCACTTTTTGATAAAATCTAACTTCACCATTGTATTCAAAATACTTTTTTATACTCAGATCAACTGCTTACATGCTTCAATCCATACTCATTTGTAATTTTCATAAAAAAAATTTACCTTCAAGGATTTTGGCAATTCTTGTAAATTTTTTCAAAATGAGAATTTCATTGCTCTACTTATATTTTGAAGGAGAAGGTGCTGATCTTATTTACTTCACTTCACATGGTGAATTTGGTACCACTATTGCATTTAAAAGGCTTCCATTAATTAGAAGAACCACTATATTTCTTGGATTTGTTGAATTTGAAAAAAATCTCAAAATTATCATTGCTAAACTTCACTAGATCTTTTAAAAAATTATAATTCTATCTATCTCTAAATCATATGAAATAATTATAGGTGAACTCATAGGTTCTTAATCAACCCTCATAGTAGTGACTAACAACCTCTAAATTATTAAAACTAACTAAGTTGCTATTTTAATTTTCTAACTCTTATCTTTTTGGTCCTAATTAACCTAATTCAAGGAATTATGCTATGATTTATACCATCAAAGGTTACAATCCTAAAAATTCTATAAAATTAAAGTCTACTTATTTAAATCCTAATCTAACATGCTCAATTATCATAAAATAAGGAAATAATAAAAATTTAAATTTTGGAGCATATTTGAGAGCTCACAACAAGCAACATGAAACTGATTATTGTTTGTATCGTCAATCATTCTTGTTTTTGATTTATAGTATACAAACAAAAATAATTGAATGTTTTAGTTGATTTTATGATGATGGCTTACAAGTGTTATCAATATTCAAAAAATTCAAAATATGCATGATAGATAAAATGACATAAAAAGCACAAAAAAATTATTTGCAACAAGTTTTTCCATCTTTTCAATGTATATATATATATATATATATATTTTAATCTTTTTTGTAAAAAGAAAAAAAGGGGAGTAAAAATCTAGATATTTTTGTAATAATTCTTCTTGTGGGAAAACGAAATTCTTGTATATCTATGTATGAAACTATTTTTTTTGGATTCAAAAGTATTGATTTTGGTTTATATAAGATGTTTTAAAAACAATTGCAGAGTTCTTATATCATATTCTCTTCAAAATGGTGGTTAATTATATGTTATGAGATTTAAAAACTTTGGTATCATTATTCGTCTTTCTTCCTTTTTTGAATATATATTCATTTTTTTCCAATAATATTCTCAATAGTTAATGTGAATAATAAAATATTATAATATCTTTAAAAACCTCATATATTCAATTTCAAAATATTATAATATCTTTACTAAATTTTATGTTAATGATTCTTTGGTATTTTATGTAAAAAATGGTTTTGTGCTTTTATTGGTTTATAAAACACTGTACGTTTATGACTGAATATTGTAATCACAAGTAATAAACATCAAAAATTATTTATCTTTTTATCCAAATTATTGATTGAAAGCTACATAGTGCTCTTTTGTTCTCCATACACTGCAGAGAACCAAGCAGGAAGTCTTAAAGGAATAATTCCAACGTAAAATAGTTAAAGTAAATTCTGGGCAACCTGGGAAGTAATGCAACCAAGAGAGACTATATATATATATATATATATATATGAAACCAAAAAAACTGCTGTGATGGAAGAACCATTAATACAATTCATGATTTCTTGTCGTATCCGATACTACCTGTATATTGACAAACAGTGCCCACACTTAAATTCTAAACTTCTTGTTTCCTGCAATTCTTTCTTTATCCCTTCAGTATCTGAGCAGGTTCGCTTGATTTCATTAGTAGCAATTCAATATCGACCCAACTTAGACAACAAATCAATAAACTTACACTCACACATAAACGCAATGTTGTGGGAAAGATGCGTTTGAAGCATTTATAGTTTTGGATAAAAACCATTTTTACTATTTACAGGCCCACATGTGCCTAGTTCACGATTGGGTAGGCTTGGTCAACAGCAGTGGCTTTGTTCACTTCGAAGCATGTCCCAGATTAGCAAATAATAGGTTTCAATTAGTTTCATATTTTGACATTTGCTTGTGGAGACATACTTATGAGGGAATGTGCTTGAAAGGTGCTGTTGTTTGCCCTCATGAACCTGTGAGGTAGGCGGAGTAGGGGTTGTGCAAAGTGGCGGCAATGATCTTCTATTTTAGAATGACTCTATTGATTGAAATTTAATAAAATTTAACTAAGTTATTTATTTCATTATTTTACTTTTTGAAAATATTTTTTCTTTAATTAGAACAAGAAAATAGTTGGAGCCAGGGTTCACTACACGTGACTGATATTCTACAATTAGGATCCAAATTCTCAACATTTTTAGAGTTATTTTGCATTCTTTTGTGCAACTTGTCATTTATCCTTAGGTAGTTTTATGTCATTTTGGATGAACACTAATACAAATTTTGTTCATTAGTTATTAACATTCTTTTGATCACTTTGTCAAGCTTGTACAGTAAAGCGTTGTTATGAACAGTAAGAGCCTGTGCATGGTCCTAATATTTGAACTCATATTACAACTACCAAAACAAGTAGAAAGAGATCTTTCAAAGTTTATGTTTTTTCAAAATTTCCACCTAATTATTGTATTTAGAAAACAAGTCTGTTTTTTATATATTTATCTTGCAGCATCATTTGTCATCAAATTGGGTGAAAGCTCTAGCACACATTGGTTACGACTTATTTCTGTAACACTTCAAATATCAAAAAATATATAATCTTTAATCATCTAAATTTATCGTACACGAACTTGAAAAACAATCTCCTAAATACTATATTTGGATCGTGTAAGACAATCCATAACATAGCAATAAAGAGTTTATTTTTATAAAAAGTAAAACACATAATTTTTGTAATCCAAATATATGATTTTTACCTATTTATGTTGTCCAAATATAGTATTTAGAAGTACTTTGGACCACGTAAAAAGGTAAAAGTCATATATTCAACTTCAATATCCTAAATTATCGAAGAAAAATTCAATCTATTATACTCTGAAGATGGTGGTACAAATCACAGCTGTGAAACTTGCAGTATCTAAATCTTGGGTTATATCTAAATCCTGGTGATGATACTGGAAGATCGGACAATGCTCACACGATAGTAGTGAGGCCAGGTCAGCACTACACGCAACCCTTGTCGTCATTCAAAATAAGGCGTTGACATTTGACTTCCGGGACTTCTCCACCGGGCCTTGTAAACTCGGGACTCAGCTAATTTTAGCACCGGTACTCCTCAAATTGGTGTGAACGTGCCATTGCACAAATAGTGTGGGTGGGTGGTGGTGGTGGAGGTAGCACTGATAAATATGCTGTTACTTTTGGGGAGTACCCCCCCCCATTTTGCTATGACTCTTCATATTTATTTTATAATTAAATGTATTGAAAACATGGTTGATGGTAGAATAAGATTTTTTAAAATTTTAAAATTTGTATTATTAAAAATAATTTTCTATTTGTTACGATTTAAAATAAAAAAAATCTAATCAAAATCCACATTTATACTGTGTATCTTTTGACAATACTTTGAGGTGTTGGTTTTTTAATTGCATTGGCTAGCTTGGTTATAGTTGAATAAAATATCCCTTTGTTTTACATTTCAGAACACCACTAGTTGATTTTGTGGTGTGATAATACATGCTAAAGTTTCCATTTAGTGATGATTTTGTAACTTCTTTTGTTTATTTTGTGGCCATTTCTGCAAATATAATGACAACATGAGATTTTTTTTAAATATCATATATATTTTTCTCTTTGAAACTTGAAAACATTACAATATTTAATAAGCTACCTTACAAACCAATAAGTGGTCTGCAACAAAATTTTAATATTGTTCATATTTTCTTCCAAATTTTCACTTTAATCTACAACAAAATATAAAATAAAATAAAAATAAAATATAGAGTAATTTATCTTTGATAATACATTTTCAGAATTAGAAAATCCATAAAACTATCCTTTAAAAGAATTACAATTTTTAAATACCTAAATAGTAAGGTCTAAATATTAGGATATATATGCTATCATGCTCTCTCAAAATTAGTTGAATATTTTTATATCATATTTTTATTGTATTTACTTTTAATAATCAAGATAATTACTTTATTTATATATAAACATATATATAAACATATATATAAACAGACAAGTATGTATATATATATATATATATATATATGAGGAGTCAGTGCGAAGTAGGGTGGGGGGCAATAACAATTCCCTCAATCAAAGATAGATGGATGGGTCGATGTCTGGGCAATATTGCTCCCGATCCTCTCTTTCGAAACTTGCCAGTGGAGACCCGAACTGAATCCACCGCCAACTGCAATATTAGCAGCGGGGAATGTTCTACCGATCCCGCCAGAATAGACACTGTTGTTTGTTCGGTTGAGGAGCTCCTGCTGCTGAGTCGCAGACTGTAATCTGCATCCCGGCCTATTTGTAGGTAGCTCTCAACCGGGAGATGGTTACCGAGTTAAGTGAGTACCGCTGGTTTTCTAATCTCGCAATGTTCGCTTTCGCCAAAAGGACCTCTATGGTTTCAGGCCTTGTCCAGGGGGCCTGGATGCCACTATTCCTTGTCATATGTCGTCCTACTTAGTCTCCCCTGAAGTTGTGGTTCGGCAGATTCGTGGCTTCGTCTTCGTAACCGTTGGGTTAGAGATTTGCTGCTCAGCATTTGCCTCCTGTTGGCTGAACGCGTCGTTTCTCGATGCTTTGGCTTGCACGCAGATCACAGCCATGTTGGTTTCGGTTTGAGGGCTTTGGTAGGCACACTTCGGCTGATGGTCAGGCTGTTCTTGTCGGTGCTGAGCTCGTCAATTGTGGGATATGGAGCATGGGAATGCACTCTCGCGACGTAAATGGGAGCAGTGGCGCCTGGTGATGACGGTGCTGGCAATAGGGCTCAGTTCATTGCAAGCGGTTGATGCAGGGCTTGGGCAGTGGAGGTTAGTGACACAAAATGCTGGTATTTCAGCAATGCACGCTGCAGTGGCGCCTGTCTCGGGAGTAGTAGTACTGCTTCATCACACCAACAGCGGACCTTCCAACATCACATTCCCAGGTGCGACGACCTGGATTTTTTGCTGAAGTGTGGTCGTGCCTTTGCAGGGAATCTTCTAGCATTTTGTAGTAACTGCAGTTATTATTCATGGGAACCCGGGATGTGTACTTAATCGTCTCTTGTGTGTTGGGTAATGCAAGTGGATAAAGAGCAATTGATAGTACTCACAGCGAATTCGTATGTGAAACAGATGGAAGGTGTAGAAACACAACCTACGATCGACTTCTCAAGAAAGATTGTTTCGCTCATTCTGTCATCCTCGATCCCTGGACTGGGGTAGTGCGGCCTGTCATGGTTATGACAGACACGCAGTGTTCATCCGGTCAATTCCTAGGGGACGGCACTCTAAGTCAAACAGGAGGCGACGCTGAAGGGACCAAAAGGACAAGGTGAACATTGCAGTAGCTAAACAATCCCAATTATCATCTTTCATTTTCACATAGTAGCTACGTATGTTATTGCGAATACAACTGACAGCGGCTGCTCCTGAATCAATCGTATCCAGAAAGCTGTCCCCAAAGTGCTACACAACGGTGGCGCAAAAAAGATATTGTGACTGGGTCGAGGGTGGTAACGGCACGGTTCTACTATCGCAGCGATGGTACTCCACCAACACGCTTCTACCTGATGCCCGCCAGATCATCGTCGGCGGACGCAATACTTTTACCCTCGAGTACTTCCCCCGATACAGTCCTCCGTCACCGAAAGCAGGACTCATTTACCTTCAATTCCTAAATGACACCGCAGATGCCAAAGGCCCTAACAATTATTACCCCTTCGTCCATCTCCTGCCAACAAATCAACTTTACATCTTTGCCAACAGGGACTCTATCCTCTACGACTACAAACAGAATGTTGTGTTGCGGAAATTCGACAAAATCCCTGGCAATCCAAGGAACTACCCTAGTGGGGGCTCGTCGGTGATGTTACCGCTGCTATACAATGACAACTTTAAGAAAGTTGAGATTCTGGTTTGCGGGGGAGCCGCGGTTGGCTCCGTCGCCAATGTCAAGGCCCAGATGAATTGCTCTACAAGCTGTGGAAGGCTTGACGTCTTGCGAAAGAATTCCACTTGGGCAATGGAGACCATGCCCATGCCTCGCTGTATGGGGGACATGGTCCTTCTCCCGGATTTGAATGTGATGATCATTAATGGCGCTAAGAGAGGTGAGTGCAGCTCTCTTGCTCTGAGCTCAGAATTTCTGCAAAGCATTGGAACTCTCCTGTCTAAGAAACAACATGCATTGTAAAATTTTCTACCCATATGTATTGACTGGCAACGTCACTCGACTTCCTTCTTGAAGGTTTCCAAGGTTGGAAGTGTGGCTCTGAGCCAACTCTCAATCCAGTGCTATACGAGCCTCGGAAGATCGCAGGCAATAGATTCACGGTTTTGAACCCCACTCAAACTCCTCGGGTGTACCATTCCACCGCCAATCTCTTAACTGTAAGTCTTGTGATCAATCGAGCAAACCATCGGTTTCATTCCAATCCATCATGCTGTACGTTATGATCTATACATGGTGCATGTATATTTTTGGACGTCACGTTGAGGTAGGACTGATCGTGTGCATCTCTGGATTGATCTTTTGATTTCTCAGGATGGCAGTATCATGCTGGCCGGCAGTAACACAAATCGGTATTACGCCTTCAAACCCAAGACATCCACTGTCGATTTTCCGACGGAGCTGAGCGTGGAGACATTCATGCCTCCATACGCGGAAAACCAGCCCAATTCAGGAGGACGACCTGTAATTATATCAGTCAATGCAACCACTGTGAGGTACCGGTCAACACTTGAACTTTTGTTTTGGGATTATCCTTCCAACGGGGCTTCCGCAGCACCTTCACCACCTCCATCTCCATCATCATCTTCATCCTCACCGCCACCACCGCCACCACCAGTTTCGAATCCTGACAGATTCGACTTCACAATGAACAGCTCCCCCTGGTCGACGCACTCGTTCTCTCACGGCCAGCGAGTGGTGACTCTCTACCCTATTAGCTTAACCACCCAGCCCGAAAGCAGGTTTGAGAATGGACGTTGGGTGAATGTGCGAACGGTTCAGCTGCGCGTCCCATCGTACTCCACCGTTCTCCCACAAACCTACTACATGCTGTGGGTGGTGAAGAATGGCAATCCCAGCACCTCATGCGTTTGGATCCGGGTCCGTGGTTAGTGGACAACAGATTCCCAACTTTCACAGCTCAATCTTGTCTGGGAATGATCAGTTGTGATGAATCTAGTATTCTTTGGATAGTAGTCTTTGCGAGGGGCCGTGACTTACGAGGCGTGTGCATTGTAACTTCACACTTTGATTTTGGGAGCTATGAAGTCATGTTCAGACTTGAAAAAGCTGTTGCTTACATTCCAACGGTTGTATATTTATTTTTATTAGCATAGCAATTGCTGGTTACATTGACCAGGCGGTGGTGGATGCAGCCCAGTTAGTAACTGGCCCAAAATTGGGGTGATTGCCGCTGACAATATTCTTTTCAATACAAAAAATTGAGGTTATAGCCTCAGACATGACTCGTTTCCATACAAGATTGGACTCTGATTTATTTGCTGTGACAAGTTATTATGCTGCATTTTATTTATTTCTAACACACACCTTGAACCACTTGTTGATCTATTTTTAATTAATCAGTTTCAATGCTTATTCATTTGTTCCTTTCCCTATTGGTATCAAGTTATAGGATATTCATTTATTCATGTATTAAAATGAAGTTTCAGCAAATAACTTTCTGTCCAATAGTTGTGTATATTTATAGTCATACATATTTTTTGTCTTTTTTGGAAAATATGAAAAATGTTCAATTATAAAAAAGATTTAGATATTTTTTAAACATAATATATTTCAATCTTATTTCTTCATGTAAATGACACTTCCACCTTAAATTACATTTCCAAGTTGAATGCTTATAAGCAAAATTTCTATTTGTTGATAGTACAATTGTTTAGTTTCTCTCTCTCTCTCTCTCTCTCTCTCTCTCTCTCTATATATATATATATATATATATATATTGCTATATAATCTAAACTAATGTATTTTTTTATTATGTTATTTTATAAAATAAAATTAAAAATATTAAAGATTTATTTATTTATTTATTTTTAATCCTTCTATAGATCTTTTTGCCTTAAGAAATATACTTAAAATTATATATTTTGTTATATGCAATCTAAACTTAAGAATAAAATAACTTACTTTCTTATCAACCATATTTTATTGTGTGGACATATTTTATAAATCAAAGTAGAATTAAAACACATAGTTTTTGAAACCAATATATTAGTAGAGCTTTGAGACAAAATGTCATAAGATTTTATTAGAATAAAACATGATAAAGGCCATCTTTAAAAACCTCAAGTAAATCCGTCATTTTTTCCAACTTCAAATGCTAATATAGCAAATGGATGCAAAAAATTTCAAATTAGTATCCAAATTAATCTAATGATGTTGCCTAAGAAACTACCTATTGTAGTACATTTTGGATTTTGAGAAACATCAATTTCATCCAATTTCTTCGAATTTAGTAGATTAATCAATAAAAATCTAACAATTCATATAAAAAGAGTTTTTGAAATATTAATTATTAGTTTAGTAATCAACTATAGATACTACCTTATATGATTTTTAACAACCTTAATGGTTTTTGCACATGCACAATATAAATTCTATATAGAGAAATCGATTATTAAATAGAAACAACTCTTAGTAATCTTTTTTTGTTAATTTAGACTTATAATTGACTAACTACATGTTCTTTTAGCTTTGACAAATATTAAACAAGGTTCCTTAGAAGATATCACTTCTTATATGAGGCAATTTTGTATAGTGTATATCTAAGATATTGGTAATCTTTTAAATGAAGATATCATAAAACACTACTATATTTTAGGTTTTTCCATGCCTTCTATAATTTGAAATATATTAAATAAGAAATTTAGGAATTTAGAAGGAATTCTTCAAATTATAGAGATTTTTATCCTATAGATTGTTGTATAAGATTTGATAAGGTTATTTTTTCAATTTCTTCATGAAGACTGCAACAACTAAGTTGGAAGAAATTTGCAAAGAATAAGGTTTATAAATCCTATTGTTACAAATGATTCAACAAGTATGTACTATAATGACTCAAGCAATGTTTAAAATTATCACCTTTTAATGATAATTCAAATCAATTAAGAAACAATGTAAAGATCTTTATGATATAATTAAAATTAAACCAAAACCAAAACCAATAGCTACTAACTTAAGATGTTATATACACAATGGCTCAATTTGATGTACCTTCTACATTAAATTTATTGCCTCTTTAATTCAACTAAGTATAATTAGATAGCAAGAAATTTTTCTTAGACAACGTTTTTTTCTTTTTTTGGTTGTGATTAAAATTATAAGTATTAAATAACCAATAGATTTAGCATAACTTGGAGAAGATAAAATATTTATGGATAATTCAAAAAAATCACCTAAATTTGTAGAATTGATAAAAATTAATCAAGAAATAGCTGAAAAATTAGAAGACAAGTAACCATCTTTTAAAATTAAAGTAAAGAAAAATATTAATTTGCAGGCAAAAAAAAAATTTGGACTTCTAGTATTTTTTCAAAACATGCAATAGCTAATAGAACCTTTAAACTTACAAAAACTTATAACTTGTGGTAAGATCTTTATAAAGCTAGACCCAATGTTGTTTTTAGTTAATTGAGTAAAGTCCATCCATTAATAAAGATTTCAGAAAAAAAAAAAATTGAAAAAGAAAGTAAATTTTTTTAAAAAAAATATCTAAATTTGAAGTTGATAATTTGGAAGAAAATACTACTATAGAAGAATAAAAGGAAAATTAAGATTATGGACCCTTTGAGACGAATGTAGAAATAATGGATAAAAGAAATTATAAGATCATAATAGATGATAGAAGTAAAATAAATATTATGCCTAAATCCACTATCAAAGAATAAGATTTTAAAATCACTTATGAGGCAATTATGAATGTGAGTTTAATTAATCAAGGACTTTTTTAATTTCTAAATCAAAATTTGTTATAAAAAGTAAATTATACATTTACAATGACAAAGATAAAAACACAAAATCAGATGTATATAGATATAATATGTATGTAGTTTACTTCCTTGAAACTACATCTATGGAAAAAATCTTCAATTCATAACTTTATTGATACTACACCTAAAGTACAACATGCTTCTTCTAAGCTTATTCCTTCACTATAAAATCCATCCTATACATTGACCTCCAAACAACAAATTGTTACAAAAAAATACAAAAAAAGCTATTTTTTCTTTCTATGACATATGACAAAAAGTCCTAGAGAACTTGAAATGAGCACCAAGTAGAGTACTTACAAGTTTTTTATTTTCTATTTTTAACTTAGAGAGAAATATTTCAATATAATTGTAATTATAAATAGAAAAATATAAATAAAAATAATCTTTATTATTGGTAAAAAGATTTTTTTGAAGTCTACTTTTTTCTTTTGAACTAATTCTTTTTTCATTAGTTTGGCTTTGATTCTAAGTCCACCTATTTCTAGAGCTCATTTTTTTTTTCTTGTACACCTATCTGTAATTAATGGCCTTCTTATCTTTTGGTAGTAACATCAATGTTTAGGTCTTATTATCATGCAAAGAAGCCATTTCTTCTTTCATTGCTAATTCTCATCTATGGTGTTTTTTGTTTTTTTATTGCTTATTGAAAGTTTTAGGATTCACCATTCTCTATAATTAATGTAAATGAAATTGTATTTACAAATCTATATTTTTTAGAAATTCTATAAATCCTTTATAATCTACAAAGCTAAGGTCTATCTTGTAATACTTCATTAATATTAAATTCACCACCCAAATTTGAAACTATCTCTTCATTTTTAGAAGTTTCAACATCATCTATTTTTGCATGAATAATCTCTAATGTATCTTTATTTATAATTTTTTTTTTGTACTATCCTTATGAATATTCAATAATAGAGTTTTATCAAAGATTATATCAATGTTGATAATAATCATATATATAATAAAATCTCAAATTCAATATCTCTTTAAAAAGTTTTCATACTTAAGAAAGATTCTCTTTCTTACTTTTGAATCTAATTTAATTTTGTATATACTCCTAATATAAACATAGGCAAGGTATTCAGATATTTGAAGTCTAAAGTAATCAATAAGCTTTTAAGATCAAACTTCTTCTAGAATCTTACATTGAATTACAAAATATTATGAGAGATTTATCAAATAGCATGTAATATTTACAACTTTAATCCAAAAGCTCTTTTGAAGCCCCCTATTATTTAATATATCCAGTGCTTTCTCCAACAAGGTTATGTTTATGCTCTTTGCTATTCTATTTTTTTAAAGTGTATTTGATACGGTAAAGTGATGCACTATCTTACACTCCTTCCAAAGGTGTTTTAACTTCTTTGACTTATATTCTTTATCATTTTCTAATTATAAGTATTTTATCTACTTTAATATTTTCATCTCAACCATATTCTTCTATTATTTGAATAATTTATTCACCTTTGACTCTTTTTTTATCATTAATATTCATATCTTTTTAAAAAATATTTATAAAAGAAAAAATAAAATAGCTTTGATTTAGATATAATTGGTATAAGTCTCCATATATTAAAATGCATATAATCTAAAATTCTTTTGGTATTATGTATAAACATATTGAAACTAATTTTACATTGCTTTCTAAATATGCAATGCTTATAAAAATTAAACTTATAGGTGTTAATTCTATTAAATTATTATTACTTCTTGAGCTCTATGAGACTTTACAAACTCATCTAGCTAAAATAAAGATGCCATAAATGAGAAAAATAGGTCTTTTTTTCTTTTATTGAGATAATTTCTATTCTATGTATAATAAAATCTCCTTCCAATTAATACAAATTTTTACACTTTTGTCCTTTTATGACTACTAGAGCTCATTTTATGATCTCAAGAGTCCTATCTTCTCTACTATATCTACATCTATTAGAATCTAGTGCTTCTAGAGAAATCAAATTTATAGCATATGACAATACTTTCATAATACCATCAGATATTTTAATTCAAATATTATACATTTCATTTTTTTTTAAATCACATTATTTTCTATCAAGACAATCCTACCATCATAAGATTTTTTATCTTTATAACTAATATTTATATAAAAAAATATAATAGAAAAATCCATAATTTAAGATCCATGCATTATAATATTTAAAAATAGTTATAATTATTAAAAAAATAAAATCTCTTTTTCCATCAATTTTTTTTATACATGTATATTTTGATACTCCAATAATTACTTATATGATTAGGTACAAGTAAGTAAAACTGAATTATTTTCATAATATCTTCTAGAAAAGCTTTTTAGAAGCTCTATAGATACAATTTTGACTTTATATGTGTTTGTAGTTAATTAATAGGCTAGAAATCTGGTCAACAAGTTATCTACATATCACATATGTTAGTAGCTTGTAGAACATGTTAGTTATATAGCCCACATATAGATAAATTAATTTGCAAAT